GGGTTGATTTGTTACTATGTATCTTGTTTTATATTTTTCATTTCAACGATTTATATGCATGTAATATTTTCAAAAGATATTTGTATGACTATTATTGATCAAATTTAACCTATTTTGGTTCATGATATATGATATATAATATCTTGTTTTATAAAGTGATTTTCTTAACCTCTTGAAGATAAATTTTGAAACATGCATTATTGAGTCCAATTTTCCAATGAAGATCCACGAGATTTTAAAATACTAATTAATAAATATTTTTGGGGTTAAGGGTGTCACACCTTGAACATCGATTTGTTTGAAGAACACAAAAACTTCGACTTTGTCTGTAGGCTTTCACATAACTCTACCAAAGTAACCTGGAGAAAAGACTTCTTCTTTTTATTGTTGGATAGCCAAAATCCAACAACAACACACAATCATAACTTTATATACGACTCAGGAAATTCACAAATATCAACAAAGAGTGAACCTCCTCTATGATAGATCTCATGTTCTCTAAGAATTGAGAAGGAACTTATATTAATCTTGCTAGAGGTTAAGGACGAGATCAGATGCAAAATATATATGTGAAAATGTGTTTCTTGAAAGTGATTTTCCAACTTGTTAGAAAAGGTTTCAAAGTTATGATTATCATCACAATAATCATTCTCATGTTTATTGTGGTAAGGGAGAGAGGACAATGATTTATATAGGTGTTTGATATTATGCACAAAATTAGTGAAAAAATGATGTTTGATTCGAATCATAACACATATATGATTTGAGTCAAATGGCAATTTAATTAAAATATATGAGAAACTCATTTATGTGATTTGGCTCATGAACAACGTGATCCAAGTCAATACTAAAGTCATGATTCGAGTCATGAACAGTGTGATTCGAATCAAGTAAGTCATATGCAAATCTTGGAGTTTTCATCACTTAATGATTGAAGTCATGAACAACGTGATTCGAGTCACAGAACTGTGTGATTCTAGTCATGAACAATGTGATTCAAATCATGACAACATCAAATTTTTCCCAAAAGCGTCTGTTTCATTTGATTCAAGTCATATGATGTGTAATTCAAATCACACACCTAAAATCTCAATATTTTTTTGCAGTTTTAAAGATGCTTTGATATGATACTAATGTCATGACTTGAACCAATCTTAAATAAGGTTCTTGATCAAAAAACTCTACTATTTGATTTATGCATGCAAAACACTTATTTAGCATGCAAAACACTTATTTAAAAACATCGCACTCAATTCTAAGATATTTGCAAAGATCTAATTAAAGGAGACTCAATTACAAAAGTGATAAAATGATAAATGATATTAAACGAAACAAGGAACAAAACCAAATCCATAGAGGGTTGAACAACTTCAAAAGGCAGTCACGGTCCCATCCTTGTGAATTGACACTCATAGAGGGGAATCATGCAGTCATCAAAAAAACTACATATTCTCTTCTCCAGGCCCAGTGGAAGAACCGACCATTCCCGAGGGTCACTAACCATGAAGCCAACAACCTCTATTGTCGCCTCAATATTTAGAACAAACAAGTTACTGACCACCTTGGCCTCCACCCAACCATACTTCACCATATCGGGTGGCTCCACTAACGCCAATCCTTTATAGGCCAAATGTTCGATCTTAGAATGTTCGTCGAGCGTGATCCAAGACATTGCGCTTGGCCAACCTCAAAGATCCAAGTAGGCCTTCACTCTAGTGTTGCTAAGTTTAGAGTTATTGGTTCTCAGGAAAAGCTGGATGAAACTTTTAATCCATTCTCTCATTCTCCATTTGGCCTATATTTCCTCCTCAGTTAAAATGGAAAAAGGCATAGGGACCTTAGTACTATTCACGTCTTCGCTGACATTAGATAAAAAGGCTTATAATGAGTCAAATGAAGAAGCTTCTTCCTCTAGGGAATCCCCATATACTCTTTATGAGTTAGAATTGTCAGATAAATGTATGACTTTTGGTTCCAAGTGATCATGATTAAGAGGAGGGAGGTGAGAATCAGGAGATGTCCCTATTCTTGAGGTAGGAGAAGTTTCGCTCTCAGAATCACTCACTAAGTTAATTGTATTATCACTCATCCTGACAAATAAATAGTAAACACTGAAGAAAAATCTTGAATTTAGGGTGGTACCTGGGGTCTGAAATTGATGAAGTGAAATGAGTAAAGAAAGAAGAGATTTTGATTAAAGAACTACAATCTTCCTGATTAATGCTTTTAGGAAAGATGGAGCAAATGCGCTTACTAAGACAGTGAATACGAACAAACTTGAATGACAAGGATTGTAAAAAATTTCCAAAATGCTTAATTCCTCCTATTTATAGGCGAGAACGGTTGGACAACCCAAATCAACTAAGAAAATAAGTTATGAAATCAGCGACTAGATTCCTCCTCGAGGATACATGCAAACTCGTGCATACTCAAGTGCATTATGAGCCACACCATGATCTAATTTGTCGCATCAACACACATGTTACTAGAAGGAGACAAAATGTTTCAATGGTGGAAATGCCTTTAATGCACTTGGTCCCCACTACTCTTTCAATTGATTCTAAACGTTTCAGTTCTACCTCACACTGAACAACATTTTGGAGGTCGGCCAAAATCGCTAAAGGCTTCCTTGACTCACTCAATGCCCGATAAAATATTTGGGGCAACTGTTATGGGCTAGCCAAGACCCAAATCATCTCAAATTCACTCCATGCGACTTAAGGTATAAAGTCAGTCCATACAGTAAACAAGGTACACTCTTTAATCTCCAATGTTCGTTACAATCATCTTGAATCTTGAACTGACTTAGGCGTTGAAGTGCTAACCATGCAGGTTCACCCTGCATTATCGTAATAGACATCAACATTATCTGTTCAAGATATTTAGTTCACCAAATGCATCAGTTTCTAATTCCCGAATGAAATATGTGTGTGTGTGTGTGTGTGTGTGTGTGTGTGTGTGTGTGTGTCTGTGTGTGTATGTGTGTATGTGTGTGTGTGTGTGTGTGTGTATATATATATATATATATATATATATATATATATATATATATATATATATATATATATATATATATATATATATATATATATATATATATATATATATATATATATATATATATATATATATATATATATATATATATATATATATATATATATATATATATATATATATATATATATATATATATATATATATATATATATATATATATATATATATATATATCATTTTAAAAATAGAAAATGACAAATTGTGTGTTATATCTATATAATATATTAAATATGAAGCAACATATTATATCGCGATACATGTTAATATTTTTAATTCATTTGTGCCACATCATTTCATTGTCCTATATGACACCTCTCTAAACTCATTTTCAAAAAATCAAATGCAATAGTTATTCTTTAATAGAAGTCACGAGTTCAACTTCATACAAAGACAAAAAAAATATAATATTTATTCTCTATTGAAAATCACAAAGTTCAATTTCTCAGAAAGACAAAAATATTTATAAATTCGAACACTAAAATTAAAATTTTATATTCTTTAAAATCATTAAAAAAAATTACTATAATATATTAAAATAGATTATATTAAATATTTTTAATTTCAAAGTAGTTATAATCGAAAATATATTAACCTAACAATAAATTACTAACTTAGATAAATATATTATTTTCATAAATTTTATAGAATAATATTTATATTTTTCTTGCAATTGTTATTATTATTTTTTAATATTATGCTTTTTAAATAATTTAAATTTTCTTCAATTTTAATTTTTTTAATAATATAGTAGTTTTTCATCATTTCATTTACAAAAAATAATAAATGAGACGACGATAGTTGATTTTAACGTTAAATTTTAAAATCACATTGTTAAACTTAAAAATAATAGGTAACTTTTAGGGTGAGAGCTCAATTAAGTCCCTCACCTATATACCACTTAAATTGACCGTTAGATTTAACAAACATACATGATCTAAATATTTCTTACCACACTCAATTTGCTCTCTTTAACTATCCCACTACCGCCTGCATTCTCCCTAACCTTTCTCTACTGCCCGCAAATAATTAACTATAAATTGATCTTTTTCTACCATGAAAAGCATAAATTATAATATTGGTTTAAATTTAGAATTGAGAATAATGAAATTGATTTTCAAAGCCAAAACATAACGATTTTAATTATCATTTCATAGGTTTTGTTTCAATTTCACATGTTAGTGTTTTCTATTAATTTAATTTTACAATAAGCGGGTTATTTATCTAATTTAAGTTTTAATTTTAAGTCAATTGTCCAATCAGGTCCCTAAAATATTCATTAACGGAGTACTATTATTGAACCGAACCGGGGTCCTGTCCGGTCCGATTGAACACTGGTTACATTATCTTTTACTAACACGAAGAATTAATAATTTGAGAGAAGATTGTGCTGCAGCAAAACTTCACCACCATCTTCCACCCTCACCCGTCTCAACTCTCAACTGCATCATTTTCAGCATCTGTAATTTTCCTCTTCTCTTTTCCTTTTCCCCTTATTTACTATATCAAGGTTTTTCTTCTTTTATTTCCCCTGCTACATGGGTTCTTTTGTTTTTCATGTTCTATGCATGGCTTGATTTTGCTGTTATTGTTGTTGTTTTTCCTCTTCCTTTTTGTTAATTACTCGAGTCCAGAATGCAGTTGATGGGGGTAGAAGCAGTAAATGATGTTTCTTTCTATTTTGGCCACGTCAGTTTTAAGCCAACTTATTGTATATCAACTGTTTGTTTAAATGCCTAGATGACTGTCTTATAAAGTTTTGTGAACATTATTAAATTGTGCTTAGCTTAGCAATCTTATAAAGTTTTCTTCCAAATTTTGCAAAATTGTATCTGTTTCGATAAATCTAAGGTTTTGGTTGTAATGGCTGTCTTTTAGTAGTACAATTGAATGCTGAATAATGAATTAATGTTCTTATGTAAATGCTAGGGAAAAGAGTTGCAATGGCTTCCTGTTACTTCAACCCAATTCCTACTAGCTCTCGTCTCATTTCAGCAGACTTATCTACAAAATTCAAGATTCCAAAGCTTCTTCACAGGGTAAATTACTTGGATTCGTATTCATTTTCATGGCCATGTTCCTCCAATGTTCATGGGAAATATATGTGTTTCTATTGACCTTGATAAATGTAAAAATGTCTGATTTTTCATGTAGGAATGGTGATATATTGTTGCATTAAGTGATCTGGGTCTGCTGCATGAAAATGTTTGAACTGTTATTTGTATTTCTTAGAAATGGACACAAAATTAAGATACAAAGTGAAGTTCACAAAGATTAAATAATAAAAAAACGAGCTTTAATCTTACAAGAGAAGCAAATGGCTAATAGACTAGTAACACACATTGAGTTCAAAATCATTTTGCTCTGGTGTGTTGTTTGTTTATTTATAACTATGTGTGTTGCCAATTCTATTTGTCTTAAAATAGAAAATTGTAAAGAGTCGTTAAAGGCTTACTAATGTTTCTATCGAACTCGGGGAAGCTTGATGAATTTCAGTTAGTGCCATGGAGTACTTGTTTTAGATGAATTATATTTTATTTAGTTTCTGATTCTTAAAAAAAATGAGTTTCTGAATTTTATTCTGTATGAAAAGTCGCAAAAAAAAATCTGATTTGTGCTGGTATGTTGCTTCCTCAATTGTATTTATGCAGAAAAAGAGGTTTGGTGCCTTGTCCAGATCTTCAAAAATTACTGCATATTATGGCTTGAAGACCCCTCCTTACGAACATGTAAGTGAACCATATAGTTAGGTGAATCCATGTTTTTGTTTGGAGATATACTATTTTAACCTATATACTTGGATTAGTTGAATGCTGCACTATGCTTATCTAAGAAATCATTACAGACATAGGTTGTATTGTCAAATTTAGCTTTATTTGAGATAGTTACATAGTTATTCCAATTTTTTTACGATTGTAATGACCAAGAGAGAAACTAGAATTGAGAAAACAGTAGTGATTGACAACGGAATGACATAGAAGGTAATATTCACGATGAAACATACAATTAAGTCCAACCTTTAACTAACTCAAAATTTTTACTTAGCTTCATATCATAATTCTAACTTCATTTGTTGCTTCAATATTCATAGGATGCATTACAGCCATACATGAGTAAGAAGACAATTGACATACACTGGGGAGAGCATCATCGGAATTTCATTGAAGGTTTGAACGAACAGCTGGGAAAGGATGATATACTATATGGTTACACCTTGGATGAACTAGTCAAAGTGACATACAATAATGGGAATCCCTTAGCTGAATTCAACAATGCAGCTGAGGTAATAATTAAATTGATAGCTGCTTTGGTCTTTTAAAGTCGATCATGAATCTGAAGCTTTTCACTTATTCATATAAAACTATTCAAAATGCTCAAGTTTATATTACATAATAAAAATAGGATATACATTCTTGAGTGTTGATATTATTAACCTCCTTTCAGATTTTCCAAACCTACACTTGTGTCTCGACTTGTTTCAGAAATTACATTCACTCTATTATGTTTAACTCTTTGTGTCTAAGCAAGTTGGCAAGTTAAAGTTGTCTGGATACTTTAAATATACTAGGTTATATTTGTAGTTATGGGGATGTAAGGTTGATGAACACCCTGTTGAAAATTTGGCATCTCTCCCATTATGATCAGAAACACGTGCCTGAAAGTCTGAAACTATTCTTGAAACCACAAAATGTATTTAAGATTGGACACTGGGTTTGAAGCTAAATCAACGTAGAGTGGAAGCTGAAAGAAATAAATACTCTTTTTGTAGCTCCTGCGCTCTTTTTGGTTTTTGCGTGTCTCTTTGATAAATGATTTTTATTTGGTGGTTTGCATTTTCTCTAGCTGGCATGAAATTAGAAGTTGTATGTCCTATTCTCAGCGATGATGCTATTCTTGTCAGTAGAGTCGTCTCAAGTTTTTGGGGAGGTCCTGTGTAGATTAGTCATTGTTTAATAATGAAAAAACAAATAGATAATCATATTTAACCACATTTTAACCGTGATAAACATTTTTTGAGGCCCTATTTAGCCACAGTTTAACCGTGAACAATTTTGGACCCTGTGCAGTAGCCGGCCTTGCACGCCCTCAAAGACGGCCTTGATTGTCTGTTCGTCGAACTATATGATATTCAATAATCACAAAATTACAAATGTGGCTGCTTTGTGTTTTTATATTCAAATGATGTCTATGTGAATTGTTATACCTAATTATTTCCTCACAGGTTTGGAATCATGACTTCTTCTGGGAATCCATGCAACCGGGAGGCGGTGATATGCCCATACTAGGTCTCCTTCAACAGATCGAAAAGGATTTTGGATCATTTACGAATTTCAAAGAGAAGTTTACAGAAGCTGCACTCACGTTGTTTGGTTCTGGCTGGGTTTGGCTAGTTTGTAAGTCCTGTCTTGCTTAAGTAATGCATAAGTTATTCAAATCCCATATTATCTTATTAATGCCATGAAATCATTGGATTTCTCTTTATAACAAACATATATCTAAAATAAATCTAAGATTTAAAAGTAAGCACCTAGTTTTTGTTTTACTGCATTGCTAAATTCTCGTTTCTTCTATCTCATTGAGAATATTTGAATACTTTATGTTTGAGGCTGTAATAACTATTCTTGTCACTAGCTGATTTAGTTTTAAAACAATTGCATTCTTAGACTGTTCCGTTGTTGAAGTGTACTATCTTAAATGAAACCTTATTGTTCGATATTTTGCTTTCATATTGCGGATAATTGATTGTCGCAAATATTCGCTGGGTGTTTCAGTGAAGAGAAAAGAGAAACGACTAGCCATTGTTAAAACTCCAAACTCCTTTTGCCCAATTGTGTCGGGTGACATAGTAAGTTATTTATCCCTTTCATTTATAAAATTTGTCCGTTTTAATATTGGAAATGGAGCTAATAATCTTTTCTCATGCAGCCAATTATCAATTTGGATTTATGGGAGGTATGATTAGCTCTCTTTCTCTCTCATCCCTACAACTAAAAAAAAAACATGTGGATGCACATTATAATTACATAGCAACAAGCTTTATGTTAGTCATCACTGACATGCTTTCACTTCACTGCAGCATGCATATTATCTGGATTACAAGGTATGTAACCATCATATATCGTCACTTACTTCCCATAAACATTAACTTAACAATCCTCGTGCCGTGCAACTTTTGGACAGAATGACAGAGCAGCGTATGTGAATGTATTTCTGAACCACCTTGTGTCTTGGAAAGCTGCAACGGAACGCTTGATCTGGGGAGAGGCTTTTGTGAATTTAGGAGAACCTAACGTTCCTGTTGCATGAAATGCTGAAGGATTACAGTACTTGGAATGTTATGGCATCTTAAGTGAAGCGGATAAAGAATTCAAAGGTTTCACTTATGGTAGAGTTTGGTCATATAGCCAGAAATGAAAAAGTGGATATCTCATTATTTAAGTAAAACATTCATTGTGCCCCATGTTCTTCTTTCTGGTTATCTATTTTTGCTGTTTTAGTGTAGGACTGAGGAAAATCTGTACTATGGAGGGATCTAGTGAACTTAGAGTAGGAGACCGTGATTTTTCAATGTATAATGAGATAGAAAAAGTGCACGTTGTTTGACTTATTATAGTCATATTTAGTTAAATTCTTATTAGTTATATAGTTATTAAGATATGATCAGTGTTTTGAAAATCAGTTATTCCATCGGTTGGATCTCATCTGAACCACAATTTGGTCAATCCAAGTGGAGTTGGGCTGAATTATGATTGGTTCAACCAGTTTTTATTTTATGCATCTTTTAAATAATTTTTTTTATTCTTTAATTTATTTATTAGTTTCTTCAACTCTAGTTGAATCCATTGGATTAAATTGCTAATAACTTTACATAAACTTTGCCAATAAGTTTGAATTGAATCTTATAAATAATTAAAAACATAATGAAATCCTTTCTAATTACTATTTCATTAGTTTTAAAATTGAAATTCTTTCTAATTACTTCATTAATTTTAAAATGAATGTTATTAAAGTTGTTATACACATATTAAGAAATATAATAAGAGGATCAAAATACACTAGATTTGTACTAAACTAACTTATTATCTATTGATGAGTAACGGATTCGGATCCTCTCCTTTTTTATATATCTTGTCATCTCTCATGTTTCTAATCTAACGGTTCAGAATTGATAATGAATAATTAAATAAAAAAAGTCATTTAACAATTACTAATATCTGCAATTTAAAAAAGTCATTTCTCTCTCCTATTAAATGACTTTTTTTATTTAATTATTCATTATAAATTTTGAACCGTTAGATTAGAAACATGAGAGATGACAGGATATATAAAAAATGAGAGGATCCAAATCTATGAGTAACCATTATGTAATACCCCATTCTTTTAATTACAACGGTATCTATTAATTAGTAATTGATGGTGAAGTGATTTGGATTAATGAACACAATTAGGAGCATGACATAATTGACTTTTAATGCAAGGGCAAAAGATCAAATTATTTGTAGAAGAAGGGGCGACAAGAGCAAGGAGAAGAGGGGAGAAAGTAGTTTGACATCTTAAAAATTCTCCATTTACATGTAGAAGTCTTGGATTTCTTGAAGAAGGGGCAACGTTGATGGGAGCAAAGCTTGAAGGAGGCTTCTTGTATGTGTAGGATCCTTTTCATCTCTTGTAATTCAAATTTAGGTTTTTGATCTTAATGTCAGGAGATTGGGTAGTTAATCACATTTTGATGCATATTCTATTTGAATGCATGATTAACTTACATGTTTGAACATGTTGGTGTGTGATTTTCTATTTAACTTGTCAAGAATGTGTGTATTATGTTCGTACACGATCCTATGAATGTTGGTTGGATTATGGGTTGGAAAACCATGAAAAAAATGTTTTTGTTGAGAATTTCAAGGTTTTTTTGAACGTATTGGGCCCATGACGATCGTCGCCATTCATGATGCCCAACCCATCATGTTCCCCAACCAGAATGTCGGACGTCATCTTCATAAAGGCCAACATGTCATCTCCTCTACCTCAAGTCAAGGTTTGACAAAAAATAACATATTTAAGTTAGACAATTCTGATTGAGACGCAGTCGAATGCGATGGAAAGCCAATTTAAAGAGTTATCATATAATAAAGTAACACAATGGTCGTATGTATGTTTGTTACTTGAATTGACCATGCTTTTCTATGTTTATATATTATGCTTCAATATTAACAAAGCCGTAATAACACAAATGTTATGCTTCAATGTTAACAAAATTGTAATACTATTGAAAGGGAAACCATTGAGAAGGGGTGATTACAAGTATATTCTAGAACAAATATTGAACAAACTTACTCGATAGAAAGCTAAACAATTGTCAGTATCGAGACGTGTACCGTTGGCTAAAAATGTGATATAGGTTATTCCTATTTATCCTATGATGACAAACGTCCTGCCTAAAGCTTGCATCGAGGACATTCAAAAAGCTGCAGAGAAATTTTGTGTGGAGGGATACAGATGAGAAAAGGAATTATCATGTTTATTAGACATGTAAATATAGAAAGATTATTATTAGTATTGATTAAAAATGATTATTAGAATCATAACCACATAAATGTGTTGTGTATATAAATGACTAACAGATCAATAAAAAGGCATGATCTAAATTCTCTTATATGGTATCACGTTTGATTTGTTCCCAAAACCTAAAACCATTCGTCAACCTTCTTTCTTCCTATCTTTCATTTTTTTCTTCTCTTTAACCACCCCAAAACAGCCATGACTACCACTACTGATTCCTCAAACAACAACTCTTCCTCACACTCCATCGGTCATACCAACCCTCCACCTTCACCTCTCACTTCTACGTTGACTCGCCCTGCTCTCATTGTCTGAAATATTACTAATTTCATTAAGATTACTCTGAGCATTGAAAAGGGCACGTATAACATGTGGTCAGAGCTTTTCAAAATTCATGCTCGAGTTTTTCAAGTGATTGACCATATCATTCCCTCTAAACCAGTCACAAATCCCTCTCTCAAAACTACTGATCCACATTTATGCCTTCATCTCGATGTCGTCGTTTTATAGTGGATATATGGAACAATCTCCGACGACCTTCTCAACATTATCATCGAATATAATTCCACCGCTGAAATCGCGTGGAATCGCTTATTCGACATCTTTTATGATAACAAGAATTCTAGGGCTCTCTACCTAGAGCAAGAATTTTCACGAACTCATATGGAGCAATTCTCTAATGCTTCCTCCTACTGTCAGCATCTCAAGTCTCTCTCTGATCAACTAGCTAATGTTAGTGCCCTAGTATCAAATGAACGTTTAGTTTTTCAACTCATTTCGGGACTAACTGATGCATACGCTACTATGAGATCCCAAATTCATCATGTTGATTCACTTCCTCAATTCTATAAAGCTCATTCTATGATCATTTTGGAAGAAACAACACTGCAGAAAAAGGTGTCAAGCTCATCCGAAAATTCATCTTTCATGGCGTCTCACAATGACGCACCAATTGATTCATCGACATCTTGTTCTAACCGTGGCAACAACAGTGACCATAATCATGGTAGCCAAAGCAATGGAAGAGGAAAGAGTGGATGAGGCCGGAGGAGAAACAATGGACGTGGCAGAGGTCGTGCTCCACAACAGCAGTGGCCTTCACCATATTACTCGCACCAGTAGTGGGCTTATCCGCTATACCCAAATTAATATCAATAGTGGAGCTCCCCTCCATGGCAACCATGGGCTACACCACCTTGTCTGTATCCAACAACAAGAAATTTAAAGGAACAACCTGACATTCTTGGTCCCAAGTCATCTCACCAAGCTCATGTCGCCAATGCAGCGCCAACCTCCTCATATGCTCCAACGAATATTCAAGTTGTCATGCATACTCTCTCATTTTCTAATCCTGATGATCAGTGGTACATGGACACTGAAGCAACCTCACCTATGACGACCAACAAAGGTAGCCTCACATCCTACTTCAATATGAGTAATAATATTACTATTGGTAATGGTCAAAATATTCCTGTAATTGGCTGTGGACATGCATCATTACCAAATTCCCTTCATCCTCTAAAACTACCTAATATTTTACATGCATCAAAAATCATTAAAAATCTTATCTCTGTTCGTAAATTTACCATAGATAATGATGTGTCGGTTGAATTTGATCCTTTTGGTTTTTCTGTGAAGGATTTTCATACAGGAAAACTGTTAATGAGATGTAACAGTTTTGGTGACTTTATCCCATTGCTACAAGACCACCTAATAAAACCTTGCCACCATCCACCTTTGCCGCGTTATCCACGAAATTATGGAACAATCGTTTAGGACATCCAGGAGCTATTATCTTAAGTTCTCTACACCGAGACAACTTTCTCCAATGTAATAAGTCTCAGAACAATTACTTTTGTAATTCACGCCCTCTTGGAAAACAAATAAAATTGCCCTTTTATAGCTCTGTGTCTCATACATTTATGCCTTTTGATATTGTGCACAATGACCTTTAGACTTCACCAATTATTAGTTCAGAAGATCATCGTTACTATGTGTTGTTTCTTGACGGTTACACAAATTTTTTATGGACTTTTCCAATTCATACAAAATCTCAGGTTCATTCCATTTTTCATCAATTTTGAACTCACATTGAAACACAATTTGAAAGAAAAATTAAATATTTCCAATGTGACAACGGTAAAGAATATGATAACTCTATGTTTCATAAATTTTGTAAAAACGATGGAATGTTATTTAGATTTTCGTGTCCTCACACCTCCTCACAAAATGAAAAAGCCAAAAGAATTTTTTTTTACCATAAACGACATCATCTGTACCCTTCTTACCCATGCCTCTTTACCTCCATAAATGTGGCATCATGCACTACACATGGCCACTTACTACATAATATTCTTCCAAATAAAAAAGCTTTCCCTACAATCATCCACTAAAATACTCTACCAAAAAGATTCATCCTATACTCACCTTCGTGTCTTTGGATGTCTTTTCTATTCTCTCATCCCTTTATCATATAGGAATAAGTTACAGGCTCGGTCTACACTTTGTGTCTTCTTAGGATATTCCTCAAATCATAGAGGATACAAATGCTATGATTTATCTATCCGTGAAATATTTATTTCCCAGCATGTCATTTTTTGTGAAACTAAGCTTCCATTTTCTAATCTAAATGTTCTTACAACGATTGACTATAATTTTTTGGATGACGACACACCCTTCCTTCCATCCTATTCCTACAGTGCTTCATCCTCTAACCGTCAAAATCATACTCCACCCCTAACTACACC